CTGCACAGATCTATAATTAATAATGCTAGTGTAGAGTCAGACAGACAGATGGGTGTTTTTCTTTCACACACAGGTAACTTTTGATGTACCTTGGTCTCCTGAATGTATAGACAAGAGATGTTACAACTATACTGGGATTGCTGATTCCTGTGATTTTGTGTTTGTGATGTCTTATGATGAACAGAGTCAAGTGTGGTCACAGTGCATAGCAAGAGCCAATGCTCCATATAACCAGACCTTAGCAGGTATGAAGTACTGCTATAAAACAAGGGAAAATGTTAAAACTCTTTAAAAAACCTAGAATATATGCAGTATTTCAAATTTCAAATTTGCTTTACTATTTGAAGAATGTAAAGCATGTTTATTTAAATCACTTTATTCTGCTCTGTGATAAAAAAAAAATCCTAGGTAGCTTACAAAGGCCAGAAATTAAATGGTCCCTGCTGTGTATAAAATTAATCAATAATTACAGTTTTTAAAAATATCAATTATATCTTTATTCTTTAGAAGTTTAAGTGTCATTGCTATACCTGATCTAAACATACTATTTTTTAAAAAACCATTTGAGAGTAAATAAGGTAAAAGCAAACATAATAAATTGTAATATCTAATCTTCAAAATATTTGCTCAGAATTGCATTTAGGGTAATTTAACACAGAAGGTACCTGGTATCGATGGGAGAGAGGAGCTCACATGGCTTCCATCCCAAAGGACAACATCTCAGTTAATATGGTTAATTAGTAATAATCTTGGTTGTGTACCTTTTCCAGGTTCTAAGTCTATGTAACCATTAGGTCTCTACATTCTCATGAAAGCTGTCTTTAAATAAATAGTAAGGAAAACTAAACAAAATGTTCATTTAGAAAGAGAGGGTTATATCTGAGAGACCTGTAAATTTAATTGTATCTTGAATTTCTACCTCAGTAGCTTTTGATTGCTTGATGGTACAAATATAACCATAGGTATGGAAGTAAATGAGAATAAAAAGCATGTGGATAAATTTTTAACTTTATATTAAAATAGGATATGACAATTACACTTTCATGGGCATTAACCCAAAGAAGTTGGTGATGGGAGTTCCATGGTATGGCTATGACTATACTTGTCGAAACTTATCAAAGGTAAGAGAAAGACAGATGACTTGTTTATCTTCATATTTGGGCTTTACCTTTGGTGACATGAACATTAATCCTTCTTAAAGCTTTTAATACAGATTCATAACCAAAGTTGTATTTTTCAGACTCATACTTGCAGCATTGAAAAAATCCCGTTCCGAGGAGCTCCATGTAGTGATGCAGTAGGACGTCAGGTTCCGTATAAAATAGTAATGACTCAAGTGAATAGTTCCCTTTCTGGGATTCTGTGGGATGAGGAACAGAAAGCGCCATATTTGGAATATAAGGCAAGTTGTCATAAATAATTTATTTTGAACATTATTTTAATTTGTTTACTGCATCAAATATATAAGATAGCTAGCTACGTTGGTTCATTGATGGGGAAAAAAATCCCAAAATAAAAGTAATTTACTTTTACTAGGACCAATATTACAAAGTCACAAGGAAGCTTCAAATTGTCCCAAGTCCACGGGCAATATGTGTAGAAGTTAAAGGGCTGACAAAAAAGAAAAGGAGAACATGAAGGAGATGATGTGAGAAATCTTTCCCAGAGTTGGGGATTGAATCCAGATTTTTCAGTTTCATTAAGCTCATTGGGCGATCTTGGGCCAGTGAGGAACAGAGCAGTTAAAAAGAGAAACAAAATCAAACAATTTAAAGACTACTGACTTTCATATTTCATTTGCACAAAGGCAGCTGGTGTGCTGAAGGGCTGAGGTGAAAAGGACATCAGTTAATATATTGTTAATATTTTTGCTGTTACATTCTCCTATCTTATAGGACTCAGAGGGTGTTTTTCATCAAGTATGGTTTGATGATCCCAGGAGTATTTCTCTGAAAGCTGCCTATGTGAAAAAACATGGTCTGAGGGGCATTGGAATGTGGAATGCAAATTGTCTTGAGTATTCTGGAAGTTCTGAAGCACAACGGCAGACAGAAGCAATGTGGGAAGCCTTGCTGCCAAAATAATGAGTGTGTGTACATTGCCATTTTGAATTTAATACTGTTTCAATTGTGTAGCGTTTCTCTTTTAATTACACTGTGTTAAGCTTAGTCATTATCAACAAAT